TGAAGATTTCAGCAAAATAAAGAGAGCAGAAAGTAAATTACAGATTATTTGCTAATTTTCTCCCTACTGACCATGAAAAAGCTCCTCCTGCTGACTGCACTGCTAACCAGAACTAACACTGTACTTCTACGAAACAGAAGTGCAGACCAATCTTACAGCAATCTAACGCTGTCAGAACGTCTTCAGAATTAATTTTAAGCCATAGCACGGGCTGTCTTACAAATAAGGGTGGTGCTTTGTTCCTGTTAGCTAGCAAGGAAAAGGCCTCCAAAGCAAGGATGAACAGGGGAGAGGGCGGGGGGAGCACACAAGAATAATCATGCTTTTTATTTGTTTTTAAGACAATCATTCCAGTGTTGCAGTGTCCCTTCCTATTGAATGAGCTGCAAGATTTACCCTTCCAAACACCAGCCATCCAACTACCACGCACTACACAATGCTTCTGTTGTTCAGGTTCATTAGAGGGAGTCTGCAAGGCTAGCATGTTGTCCCACGTCTGTAAAGGGGGTTCCAGAGGAAAAATTATAAAAGCTCTCAGAAGGGGAATCACGAATCCTCTTCACTTGCAGTAACAGTACTCTTTTAGTCCAAGGTACCACAGCAGTTTTTATCTATCAATCAAATCTCTTTATTGTAGGCAAGGAAAATACTGCTCTAGGTGACAGGGCACCTAAAAATTCATTATTCATAGAAGCAGTAACGGGCCAAGTACAGAGAACTTCAGCAGACAAAACTCAACAATTTGCATATGCAGCCCAAAAGCTGAAAGACGACAGAGCAGCTGTTACCATGCAGGGATCATACTTCATATCATTCTATCAGAAACACAGACAATCATGTACTGTTCTGCAACTGCACACGGTTCCAACACTATGCAATCACGTAATTATATTAGTATAATCTACTATATAACAGAAGTGAATTTTCATAGTTCAAAAATCGCGAAAAGAAAAAAAAAAGTTATTTTAGCTTTCAGTTTCAGTAACACTAGTAACAGAGATACCAAACTATTTGTTGCAACTTGTTTAGCTTTCTATTATTAACAGCACTTATTCATCCATACTAAAATTAATACAGTCTTACCTGTATCGCACATGAAAGGAACGATCTTCACGCATGCTTATCAAAACATTACTTTCCTCCATTGAGTTGCATTATCAGTAGAGAAAATAGTACCGTTCTGTAGTAGGGTAAGTACTTTACTACGGAGAACTGTTGTCAGAACACCATTCCAGTTAGTATATTAATAAGCTGGAGTAAAGATATCCTAAGCTCCTGTTGAAAAACTCTTCTTTATTACTAAGGTAAGGAGGTCACTGTCAGACACATCTTAAACCTTCAGAAAGGTGTTCCAAGTTCTTTCCTCTGTGGCCCTTTAAGCTCCATTCAGCTGCGTTTCTGCAAAGGGAACACAAGATGCTTGGCTTGAAGTCTCATAGTCAGTTAATAACTCATAACCATTTGCAGCTGATGTAAAAGCATAACACTACTCCTACCAAGCAGGAAGCGTCAATCAAGAACTTACAGCCAGAGCCAAAACCATCTACATACATATGGCAATTCCTGTAGGCAAGCGAGAAAACACGCAAGGTTTAACAAAAACCAATGCTCTCTTTCTGTTGGAAACTTCGAGTAATTTACCCTTGTTAGTATTCTTTGGCCTCATGAAGTTCCACGCAAAAGGCTTAAAGGATGAAAGCTACAGAATGAAAGGCATAATATAAAACAGATCACAAACTGCTTTACACATAAACTACTGCTGAAGCCCTGACAGTTTGCTGAAGTCCCACAGTAGTCAGAACTGGCTGACGCGATCCCATCTGGAGATCATCCATTCTGGATGACCATCCCACCCAGAACATTATGAGCACAGAAGCCAGCAGAGGTTTAAGCTCTATTTCCCTTTCCCGTCCCCGCTCCCAAAAGAAAAGGGAGGGAGGTATGGGGGTTTTTGCTTGGGTTTTTTTTTTTCCCACACTGGCTTCACATTCCAAAATGCTGCAGCATTGTCATCTGAGCTCCAAACTCTGCTTCACAGGGACTGCAGCAGCCAGCACTTAGGTGTTAGACATGTTTAGGCTGACAAGGAAAAGATTAACAGAAAAGAAACTCTGTTCAAAAGTTTACCCACTTTTAAATATATTTTTAGTGGAGGAGTTGACGTGTTTATTGCTCAGTACTAATATTACCTTCCTTCGCAAGTAAACATACAGTTGTGTAATTCACAAATGCGTATTTCATCAAGACACTGCAGAGATGCCAAAAGACAAGAACAGAGCTCAGATTTAAAGCTGTCACCAGAAGAAAATGCAACCTCCTCTATTTTTAACTGTCGATGTAGGCCATGCCTTTTCCTCTCATTACATCTAACAAGTACCAGCTGTGAAGATTCATGCTTCCTATCATGCTCAACCTTGACAGCACCCCTCAAACAGGCCATCCAAATTCTTCCAGTCAAACAACTACTTTGCCTTTCCATGCTCATCATTAGAACTATTTGGCATCAACAAGTGGGTGTGGGTATATTTTTGCAATTACAAAGCGTGACACATACAGTTTACAATACCACTGCAACCCGCATACTGGGAAGACTGTGTCACAGGTATTTACTCTCCGGAAGTTTGCCCAAACCTCAAATCGAGTAACTCATACAAGCAGATAGCTGCGAGCCA